AACACACCCACACATGAGAACGTCGTTCCCAAATCAATACCCACAGCCGGTCCTTTCGACATTAGTTTTTCTCGGGATTGTTAGAAAACACTAAAAAAGACAGGAGAAAGTAGATTGCAACAACGGACAACAAGATAACGGCCGAACAACAGAACGATTTTGCAAAGGCGGAGGTCCGTGTTTGTCTCGAACTCCTCTTATATACGGTCTTCACGTTATTCTTGAACATTCCATTGATGCACGCTTAATTCTAGAATGTTCGTATCCAATCAGCGGTGAGCATAGGCTCATATATGGTTCGTATTGGCTATTGCCTTCATGCACTACCGCACATTATGGCTCCTCCTCTGGTCGTTTGCATGCATTGCTTGTTGTGCCGTTGCTCAAGCTAGCCACTCGGATAACAGTTGGGATATATGTATACTTGACTTTTGTGGGTCGCTTTCTCATTGCTCTCTTTTATGGTTTTGTGTGTTGGATGTGCGAATCTAGTCCATCATTGTTTAGACAACAAATTACAGGAATGTAGTTACCTGAATCGGGTTGTATCGATCAATCATTGTGGTCACGACACACGATTTGCATCCTGAGTAGTTTCTGATGCTTTTTCATTCACATGCCACAAGATAAGATGCAATAAATGTGTTGGAGCTGTGCGGACAACGGATAAGGGAAGTATTCTAGGGCCATCGGTTAGTTGTACACGTTTGAAATTTTGCCACTGTCCACTCGTCTCATCTCATCATTCAGGAGCCTGTATTGCTGTTTCGCTCTGGCCTTGGCTAGCAAGTGTGCGAAAATACTAAGATGTTTGCAAAGGCAATCGATCGATTGTGGGGAGATTAAAACGTGACTACTATTTTGCGAGGAATTAGTCCCGAAACCTTTCTTTTACTCGATCCTATACGTAATGTGAGTGGCGTTCCCTCTCTTCTCCTAATTGGGCTTTCAGTGTTAATCGCGGGATATGAGCAGAACTCAGATGACCATGGTTTGTCATCACACAGACATTTCCTTATTCGCCTTTTCTCAGTTTCCAACTGCACTGCAGAAATCAAATGTGTGATATTCATCGATGTGCACGATCTTTGAGCCAATTGCGCAGGCACTCGTTGCCAATTTATTCCTCCCTTCTCATGAATCGCTGTTTTAAACTAATTACTTCACGCCCTATGTCTACGTTCGCACTCGGTTGCCTCAACTCTCCTTACCTTGTTACCCTCATTGGTGTTCTCGAGACGATTGAGGTTAATCCTATGCTGACCTTGCCGTCTTAGTGATTACACCAAAGGATGGGGACAGGGGTGGGTAAGTGGGGTTCAGAGCATATCCCAAAAGTCTGGTCATGCTTGAATCGTGACGGCTTACCTAAACCCGCCGGAGGACTTGCTCGGTGTGGCCATTTTAATTGCAGAAGCCAGGCGATGGGGCTCACATCGCGGCGGCAATCAACGATAATGGCGTTATAGTGCAAGGCTTGCCCATGAGCCCTAAAAGGACTGACACACTTTACCTTGTCACCCATCCTCCTATCCGTGATCTACCAATTTGTTGTAATAAGAAGTAAAATTATGTTGAGAGGTGTCGCAATCACCAATGCTGACGTTGTGGTGAGTAGAAAGTGGAATTATGAAGGATCATGCCGTGTTTATGAGAGGTAATTTAACGTGGTTTGTGTAGACAAGTCAGAGCTTTCCGGCTTTTACACAGTTTGAATAACCATCTTGATGAAAATATTTTCTTTCGTTCCTCACAAACATGAATTCTAATGCACTAAGAGAACTCCTAACAAACAAACCGCTCCACATAAACCGTGATTGTCAGGCTTATTTTCAAAAACCTCATAAAGTCGTCTGATGCGCTCCAAATAAGTCAATTTGGTATAGGCTGAAAGTTTTTATAAGGAAACTGTACCAAGGCGTGAGGAAATCGGCTCAATCATCCACACGGTGGATGACTTCCTGCACTTTTTCGAATGTCAGTCTTGGAGTTAATATCCAGTGCGATAATTTTATGTGAAGTAGAAGAATCGAGAAACAAATGAAACGTAATCTCATCTCCACTCACTTCCAATGCGCCAGTCAACCAGAAGGAAGAAGATGCATTTCCTTCAGAAGGCTATTTACTAGAGGTATCGCCTACCTATTTGCCTCAGATTTCACTTATAACCCGTAGCCAATGATGGGACTCTGGAACCGAAACATGGTTATGGCACCTTGAGGGACGATGGTGTACGCATCGACAACATTATGTACGTTTCGTCGCGCAGTTTACATACTCAATGCTACTTTTAAAGGGATGCACATCTAAGTTCAAATCTTTGTTGTGTTGAGGTTATTACTGTGGTGCTAAAACAGGCTAATATGGGGGCGAAATTGGCTCCACCGAGGAGTGGCAGTACCGAGGCTTTTACGGTGCACTAAGCGTCACCACGGATGACAAGACTTCGGATTTAGTGTGACTAAGTGAGAAGTGTCTTGCCGTCCTCTAACAGCCATGACCGAATCTATCCCACCGATGTGCTATCACACACATCTCACACATCTTGACACACAACTCTTACCATAACAGGCTACGACGTAAGGCGTTATTGTGATGATGGCATCAGAGTCAAAGAAGAGGACAGATTAGGAAGAAAAAAGGAAAAAGCGGATCCATGTAGCAAGTGAACTCACATTAAACGTGTATTTACGAATTGCTGATCAGATAATACATTTTTTTGCCTCAACTAGCATTTGAACTTGAGCCTTTTTCCCATTTTACCATTAACTCTCATTCGCGCGATCGTTTGTGCCTACGGAGAGCTCAATAACGTCGTCTGTAACTACTGTTCCCATGAGGCTATGAAAGACAATTTTCCAACCACAGCAATTCCAGGCGGCAAAGGTGGCTTTAAAAAGGACAGATAATTCACTCACACACATCCACGAGGATATGCAGTTTTGCAAGTGTTGAGATAATCCCTGTCTTAGAGGCACTAAAATTTACCTACTCAATTCCTAGACGTACACTGCCATCAGGACGCACTCGTCGTTATGTCCACAATAGATAATGAGTAAAGTACGGCTGCCCGTCAAGGAGTGTGCTCACTGCAGCGATCAACACAACTGTGGCAAATGAAGGTGCGAACCGAACAGAATGGTGAAGCTTTATGTTAGTCCAACTCCTGCGTCGCTCTAGTGGGTGCTTGCTTCACGTAGGTGGATGTGCGTGCATACACAAGAGCGTCACTGTGGCTAATAGAGTGGTCTGCCTCGCCAATGCCTTGTCTCTATCACTTTTCCTTTTATAAGAGCCAAGCTGACCTTTTGTGGGAGGTATGGCTTCACGTCACCCTGTCTAAAGTGAATAGGATTTGGCTATTAGCTAAGGCATGGCTGCATTTTATGAGACATGAGGTGCCACTTCGAAAGCGGGCAGATGGGGAGCGCATAGAAAAGTGTTCAGGAAATGTGCCTACGAATTCTGGGTGCTACCGTCTCGCATTGTATTAATGCAGTGCTAAAAAATTAGGGTTTGAAAGCAAGCAGCTTCAGCCTGCTTTTTTGATACTTGATGTTACATTGCATCATTTCCTTCACATTCACATTTTTCTGAGAGACAACGCAATTAACTGGGCACCATACCCTCACACCACCACTAACACCACGAAACCATTGTGCTCGTTCCATTATTCTTCTGTCCACACACAGCTAATGCTATATCAAGCTGACGCCTTCTCTGGACACGCACACACGCTCACATTTTGCAGTCTTTAAAACCACCTCTCTTACTTTCGAAATCGTGACTTTTCACTGCCCTACGCCCTACACCGTTGCCTCTTAGCTCTCACACCCACATCATAACACAAGTGTTTGCAACACGCACAACTTCACAGAATACAACTTGACGCAATCTGTTCATGCAATAAGACTAGTCAACTTCACCCACTGCAACACCATCGTCTCCAGCCTGTGCCAACAACGACTCATCGGAGTCAGCTTTCACATTCTCTCCATCCTTTATGGTTTCACCTTCCGGAATATCCAAATACATTCGAATCCATGAATGGATCGTGTCGATGTGAGTCCTCGGCTCCTCCAATGGAAAACCGGAATCCAACAATGCTGTGCTGTACAGCATCTCCAAGATATTCCTGCAAAATGTCTTTGGCATATTATCAGCTAAAAGCATCTTCTTCAGATCAGTTATTATCGGATCGCGAGGATTGATCTCCAAGTGCTTTTTGGCGCTATTATTTCCTAAAGAGTGCGGATTTCGCAGGGCTTGAGCCTTTCCGATGCGCTGCATGTTTGCAGACCAACCACAAGTGGATGTGACAAGACAACATGGTGAACTGATTAATCTACATGAGACTCGTACGCTCTCAACCTTCTCCCCTAGTATCTCCTTCATTTTTGCACAAGTTGACTCAAAATCTTCCTCCACACACTTATTCAACGTCCTTGGCGTCATACTTGCCGTTGACTTCTCTTCCTTCGTCTCTTCTTCTGGCAACTGAAGACCCAACCTCGACGCGCACACCAAACTTTTGCCCAAATACTCGGTCAGTTCATTTACTACATACTCGTCCACCGGATCTACCATAAACAACACCTCAAGATCATGCGCCTGCAGGCTTTCGATGAAAACTGAGTCTCTTACACTTTCCATGCTCTCACCGACGATGCAGTAGATAAAATTTTGACCCCTTTTCATTCGATTCACATATTCCTTCAAGCTAGTCATTTCATTGCCGCTCTTAGATGAGTAATAGCGCAACAGATCAGCTAGTTTATAGCGATTCGCTTTATCCTCATACACACCGAGTTTAATGCTCCTTAAGAAATTGCCGTAAAATGTTTTGTAGACCAGTGGATCCTCCGCTATCTCTTGCATCAGTTCAATGGTCTTCCTTACCAAGTGTCTACGGATCGCTTGCACGACAGCACTCTGCTGTATTGCATCGCGACTGAGATTCAGGGGTAGGTCGTCTGAATCGACAATTCCAAAGAGAAAGTTCAAGTAGTTCGGAGTCAGATTCTTGCACTCTTCCGTCACCAATACCCTTCTCACGTAAAGCCTGATGCTGTGCACCCGTCCATTTCTGCCAAAATAGTCTTCAGGAGGATGTCTTGGTACAAACAGCAGTGCACGAAATGACAATTCACCCTCAACAGAGAAATGCTTCACAGCCAAGTAGTCCTCCAAATCTGAGCTTAGCCACTTGTACAACTTGTCGTATTCCTCCCGGCTGATGTCCCTTGGATTGCGCATCCACAGTGGCTCAATTCCATTCAACACAATTTCATCAATAACTTTTCCTTCCTTCTCTTTCCCTCTACAGTCCATAACATTTTGCTTTTCTCCCTCATCACAGGGTAATTTTATGGGATAGGCGATAAATTCGGAGTACTTTCCCACGATCGCCTTAATCACGTGTAAATCCAGGTACTGATGGCTCTTCATGTGAAGAATCACCTTGGTACCGCGGCTCAACGACTGATCATTCCATGCACGAATAGTGAAATACTCACCACCCAGCGATTCCCACATATACTGTTCATCGTCGTTAGTCTTGGAGACAACCTGAACCCTGTCCGCAACAAGAAAGGCGGAGTAGAAACCCAAACCAAATTCCCCAATCATGGAGACACAATCGCCACTGTCTTGCAATGCCTTCATGAAGGTTCTTGTACCCGAATATGCAATTCTACCCAAGTTCTTCACCAACTCGTCCTTCGTCATGCCAATTCCTGTATCCACGATGGTAAGTGTGCCTTCAGCTTTGTTCGGCAGAATCTATGTAGAAAATCACAATGTCACAAGTGGCACACCCAAATGGAAACGTATGGTTAATTTTATATCGAAAAAGACAAAGTGGTCACCCTGATGCATAGTTCCGAATTGGCATCTAGTACTGATGGTTGCTTGAGACTCTTATACCAGATCTTGTCCAGAGCATCGGATGCGTTGGCGATCAATTCTCGCATGAAGACGTCCTTCCTAGGGTAGACAGCACTGACCAAGAGATGTAGCAATTGACAAGTGTCTACCCTAATGGCGAACGTCTCAGCCTTTTGTTCTTTCGAAACATCGGTTGTGACTTCCTTACTGCACATGTCAATGCTTAAAAACGAGCAATTTAGAGGGAAATCGATCATGGTAGAAATTTCTAGATCTCAGATATCACCTCCACCAACCAGATTACGGAAATACAACTTACTGAAATGTGATTGGTCAGGTGTAAGAAATTGAGGCGCATGATCAACTTTATTGGAACCCATAATTTGTAACGCAATTCACTCCTTGTTTTATTCGATCCAGTGGACCGAAAGGGCACAGAATATGCAAGTGTTGTTACTGAGATTGTAAAATTAACACATTTTCTTATCCTAGCAACGTCAAAACTGAAATGACCTTACGCCTAATCGTAGTAACAAAGATATAGAGCTGTTTACTCCCAATAACGAGAACAATTCACCAAGTTTTTAACACGGAAAGTGATGAACACCAAGTTACTCATTCAAATTGAGACAGGGGAATGGACCTGCGTAGTCACAGAGGACCCCGTCTCATCCAGTAACTCGACTGCAGTTGATTGCATAGTCGGCAAAGCCGACCTATTGGCTAGTTCGAAAACCAAATTGAATGAACTAAGGAAGATGTTGAGAAATAACTGGAGGTCATTAAGCCATGTACCTTCAAAAGGACGGCTCTACGTCGATTCATTTCTACCTCCCCAAGGGTGAGGGAAGGAAAATTGGTCAGGAGCAGACAAGATAAGCTGTTGATGGCCATTACTTGGCCATACTTCTTCGCAGCTGAAAGTAGGTACAGTATTCTTGTAAAATACGAATAGCTGGCACAGGAAAGGGTCTGTGACTCCCTATTCGGCCGGAGGATGAGGTCGTCTGGAGAAACACCCAATTAACTAGTTACATTCTCGTTTGTTTGTATGCAAGATTATGTGACTTTATGAGGAGAAGAACGAAGGATCTCCGCTTTGCTGAAGAGGATGGCCGTGATGCGAGTTTATGGGTGGTACAATGGAGGTGCTGTGTGTGTTTAAATAAATGAGATGAGATTATTGATAAACTTGGGAAAGAAGTGCAGATGAGAAATTACATTAGATTGTAAACTTGATAAATAAGTAGGTAATCACAACTATAGTACATGCCAAGTTGTTTAAATGACCATTATGGATGAGAAACTGGGTTTAGGTTTCAATGCCGTGCGGAAAAAGAGAGTGCATGATTCCTTTGCATCGCAATGGGCGTTTTTCCCATCTCTTTTTCATTCGTATAATAACGTCAAATAAAGCCCAACAAAGTGGACTAATCATTGAGAGGAATTTCGGTGATAGAGCGGAAGGGATTAGAGCAACATTCCTAATTACGTAAAACATGGGTGAAAGTATTAGAAGAAGGGTCGAGATTAAGTGTTTGAATAAAGGGATTGTGTATGAAACAAACTCTACCCAGCTTATTAATAACAGTAGTAGATCGACGAAATGGTACGTTCAATTTTTAATAATAAGCGCTATTAAAGAAAGATTATAATAAGTGATTGCCTGCCAAAAGCAACGATAACTTCGTGATTAGAGAAAAGGTTCTCAACAATGCCACTGGAGACATGGAATGAAGAATTGTTAGACAATGGTAGAAGCACCAATATCGCACGTTTGCATTCCAGGAAAATAAGGAGAAGGAGAGTAAAGAATAAAGGAAAAAAGCCTGTAGCGTCCTGAGACTGCCTTGACGACAGGTCAAATGGGCCTAGGCATGGCCCAAAGGCCAGCCCACGTGTACAACGGCCAGACAAAGCCTAAAGTGACTACCAGACGTCATGTGATCACATGCACAAAGTATTACAAAGCAGATTTAGAGTATTTCAAAACGAGAAAACGTGTTTTAAAATAAAATAAGTAAAAATCTAGAAGTTTATGGGAAATATTTAACGTGCTGCAACACATCATCCCCAGACAGTCATTAGAGCAAACCACATTGCATTTTAGCTGTAGGACCTCTACAAAAACTCACAATTACATACCGTCACGCCAAACATAAATAGGAAATACAAATTAAAACTAAAAAATCCACTTTGTGCCGCATATCATTGGCGTGGTAGTGATTGTCGCTGTAGCAGGGCTGGTTCGGTGCTTGAAGGCAGTTGTGGCAACACGAGTGTGCAGACACCATCTCTCGACAACGTCTCACCTCTGCGTTGGTGGCGTTGGCGTCGTGAGGCATTGTGCTGATGGTGTGGTAATGCATGACTGCAACGACTGACCTCAATTTTGCTATCACTTGTTTTGTGAACTCGTGTTGTATACACGCTGGTGCTGCCCTTATCGTGACCTCGTTAAAGTGTCGACATTATTTGTGTGTACATAGGTGTGATATATTGACGGTGCTTATTGCATGTACAAGACGTATTGTTGGTCCGTATCGATGTCTAGACCCATACTTTGGGAAGATTGTGGGGTTTTGTGTGGGAGTGGGGGATGTGTCGGTAACGGACGCCGAGTCATTTGTCTGTTGCAGGCATTCCGTTGAATGCTAAAAGAGGTTGTGTCTCCTTCTACGCTTTGCTCATCATATCTCAGCCTCTTTCCCCATGGAAGCGTGTTGTCCTTCCACGTGGTAGTTTGGAGGCAATGTCAGGTCGTGCCACAGGCAGGTAGGTGGACGTATTATGCACCAAAAA